CCCCCTCCTCTGAGGCAGAGGTGAGCTGACCGCTGGTGGACGGCTCAGGAGCGTCAATCAACAGTGTGGCGTGGGCACTGAGCAGCCAGTGACAGCCTCCTCAGAGGTTAACACTCCCCTGACACCCCGGCTCCTACAGGGCAGGATGAGGCACCATCTCACATGGCTTCTTGGAACATGGGGAGGTAGAAGTAAACACACACAGGAGAAAGCATCAAAACTCCTTCACCGGGTTCCTGCCTGCCTGGGGCCGCAGCACCAACTCACTGCTCCCCGAACACCTAGTACGCAACGCACTGTGTGCTTCCCGGCCCGCCGCCTTGGGGATCTGTTCCCTCTGCATGGGAAACCTCCTGAGCCCCAGGCCTGGCACACATTTGATAAACAAAATAAATGATATAGGACGACAGCCAGGTGGTACATAGGGACAAGGATTGCTTCCTTTGTGTGGTGTCATCACATGGGAGGAGCCAGAGCTCAGTGACCATGAATGGGGCAAGGGAGCTTTCCCACCACACTCAACCCTGAGCTTAGGCAGCCTGAGGACAGCTGGGTAGGTCTTCCCATCTCCCCTTCTGACCCTGAGGAAAAGGTCTTCTAGTTTTTTTGTGACAGGATCTCACTCTGTTGCCCAGGCCACAGTGCCGTGGCATGATCATAGCTCACTGCAGCTTTCAATTCCTGAGTTCAAGGGATCCTTCTGTCTCAACCTCTCAGGCTGCTGGGACTACAGGTACACATCACCACATCCAGCTACATTTTTAAATTTTTTGTAGAGATGGGGGTCTTACTATGTTGCCCAGGTTGGTCTTGAATGCCTGGCCTCAAGTGATCCTTCCAACTTGACCTCCCAAAGTGCTGGGATTACAGGTGTGAGCCACTGCGCTGGGCCAGGAAAGCCACTGCGCTCACTCGTCTTGACGAGGCTTCCCAAGTCTGACCTTTGCCCTGGTGTCCTGAAAATCTGGGCTTTGTTCCTCCCACTCTCAGTATCCCGCTGGCACCTCCTACAGGCTGAGCTCTTCTCCCCACGTGCACCAAGCCCAGACCTTCTGACCCCTTCTTCCCACTCCTCCCCTTTGATCACCTGTTTTCCACCATGCTAGATGCAACTGGGCCACACAGTAGGAGCTAAATAAATGTATCTGGAACAAACGCAGCTTTCCCCGGCTACTAGCACCCACACGGATATCTTCTTTTTCAGAGTTCCTAGAACCCTTGTGTGCAAAGTCCTATATAAGCAACCCCGCCCCCACCACTCATTCCTTAAACCAGCTAATTGCCAGAATGGCCCGCGAGGGTTACAGATGTAGTAGATCCCGGACCTGGCCCGGACCTCCCCAGTCAGAGTCCTTGGAGGAAGCCTCGGCAACAGGTCCAGCATGCCCGCAGGTGGGGCTTATGGGCCAGGCTGGGGAACGTGCACCTGAGGACCAGTGAGAAAGGCAAATTGACTCACGAGAGAGCGCCCCTGGCTCTAAAACGCATACCACTGTTCCCATCCTCCCGGATTGAATCACAGGACAAACAGGAAAAAAGACACAAAACCCCAGGCAAGCAAGGGTGTGGGCTGGGGGGTGGCCCTCTCACTGCTGCTCTGAGCCCCCAACCAACATCCCGCCCACAGGCCCCTTCTCGGTCTAGCCTTGGGTCAACTCGTCTCCAGTTAGCCCCTTTAGGATGTCACCAAGCCCACAGCCCAGGGCAAGCAGGCAATCTGTGCACGGGATGAGCAAGCCTAGGAGGCCAGCTGGAAGCTCAAAGGAACTTCACCGGGTTGGTTTGTTTGTTTTTTTCCAAAAAAAAAAAAGCCCTAGGGGGAAAACAAAGCGGAAACTCCAGCAAGTCTTCCAGCTGACGAAGCCCGGTCCTGGCACGCACAACAGTTGCCATATGGCACACAGACACAGTCACCTCCACTTCCAGGCCCCGTGCCCCTCAGGAACCTGGGGCTCCAGGCCCTCCCTGGGACCAACCCTCCCCTGTGCACACTCACCAGCCAGCAGGCCTTTCCAGGCCACCTGCCCCAGCCCTGGGACTGCTTCTCCCAACAGCTTCTCCGAGCTCCTGACTGGCCTAGTCCGGCCTCTATGTTTCACACACCCAGTGTCCCCCCTTCTGGACTGCATCCCTCTCTCCAGGACGCAGCCAGGAGATCCCAGCAAGTCAGACGAGCACTGTTCCCTGGAGAGAGCTGAGCTGGGAGCCAGGAGCCGGGCTCCCTCCCTTCTCTGAGCCTCAGTTTCCCCACCAGTGAGTTGAGGGTGGCTCAGAGGTTCTGCACGTGGTGGCGCCTTCTAACTCTGTCCCAGCTCATGGCTTTACTTCTTCCACTCCCTAAGACCAACTGATGGACAGGTTTTCTCCTTCCTTGGCCTTTGGTGGGAAAGGAACTTTCCAAAATGGTCTGCCTCCTCTCAAATCCTGTCATGAAACACAGGAAAGCCGACCGTCCCCTGCTTCCTCCTGTTCTGGACATGGTGTCAGAGGTGACTGAGAGCAGTAGAGGACAGGAGGCCCGGGCGCCCACCGCACTTCCTCAGTGCCAAACAGTCCTGACTGTACCTCCCAAGTCACCTTCAGAGCTGGGATGAACCCTTCACTGAAGTCTTAACCCAGTAAAGGAGACTTTGTTGCGCACCCTGCAAATGTCATCTCTTTCCACTGACAGGCTCGCGTCCCCCCCTGGGAAGCACAGGATCCGGCTCCCAGGTCTGCCGGGCCCTAGGGGGGCCTCAGTCTCAGTCCAGGCTCAGAGTGAGTTTGGAAACGCCCCAGAAAATCCGTGCCTCTCTCTCCTCCGAGAAGGAAGATGGGGACGCTGCTTCACAGGACAGAAGCAATATGGTTTGGCAGATGGAGAGGGCTTCTATTGCAGGAAGGATATGGGGCAGAAACTGGAGGAGCGGTTTTTTTTTTCTTTTGAAGGCTGCCTACAGCAAAAAAGCTGGGGTGACCGAATAGGGAAGCAACAGGGGTGAGGTGAGTAAGAAAGACGAGCTCCAGGAGAGAGGATGGGAGAACCCAGCAGGGACCAGGGGAGGGATGACAGAGTTGAGAACACACGTGTGAGCGGCAGCTGGGTCAGTCTGGTGACAATGAGACATCGGGTCCCAGGATTTCACAATAGTGATGCTGAGCTTCCAGGCCAAGCAGATGGGACCATGGGGCATTTCCAAATTGCAAGGGGAAGTTGGCCAGGGGAAGGGCTCTAGCAGGGGGAATTCCGCCCGTCACGTTGAATTTAAGATGGAGGCAAAAAACCCAAGTGCATCCCAGGAATCATGGCCTTCCCATCACAGAAGGCTTCCAACAGAGATGCCCAGCTGGGGAGGAGAGACCAGCTGATCCCGCCTCTCCCTGCTCTGAGAAGGGCTCTGTAGCGGACGCTTCTGGGCTGGCCCGAGGGTCTCTTCACCGTCCAGAAGGAGCTGGGGGGAGGTAATCTGGGAGTTGATCAGGAATTTCTTTACTTCCTCTGCCCCCAGCCCACCTGGAAGTTCATGGCTCCAGAGCCGTGGGGCCAGAGGAACAGTGAAGTTGCAGCAAATGGTACCTCTCCTCACTCCACCCCCTTCAGATCTAGAAGGAAAAATTGGTCATCTGCTCTCTTTGGGGCCCCAGGCTCACACAAATGCTATCTCAGGGTCCCCAGCCACAGCAGTGATTCAGGCCATTTACTCAGATCCACGTTAATGAGTTTTTGCTGTCACCTAATTAGTTCACAGCGAAACAAGCCTTGAGAGAAAAGAAATAAGAGTGGGTGGGGGAAAGGACAGAAGGAAGTCAGACTGGCATGTCACAGCACAAAGGCAGGATTGCAGTTCCACATGGGGTCCTCTACTCCCAAGAGACCCCATACTCCTTCCCCAGCTATGGGGACCTCAGAAAGCAGACAGGGGATGTTCAAGTGTAGAGCATCACACAAGAAGGGGCAGTGCAGCGCTAACTGTAAGGCCCCAGTAGTGGATAGGCCCCTGCCCACAACACCCTGTGACAGCAAAAAGCCTTGGCTCTTGCTGCATTTCTACTAAGACGGAACCCACCACCTGCTGGTGGGCGTCCCCCTTCAAACAGAACTGGAGGCGGAAGCAGATGGTCCAAGGCGAGGCCCATCTGTCCGCGAGCCCTCGAAGGTCACCATGCCACTGGCTGCCTGCGGGTGCGACCAGCCCTTACCACACCAGAGGTCGTGGGGCATCTGCCAGCAGCGTGTCCCCACTTCCTACGGCCCTCGGCAGCCGAAAGTCCAGGGCCCAAGAGCCCAGAGAAAGGGGCGCTGGGCAGCACAGTGGCCCGGGGTTTCCCGTCCTCGGACGCTGGGTGCGGCGTTCCTTGGAGGTCAGTCAACGCCCTGCAGCCCCGCGCCTGCCTCCGGAGCTAGCAGCTGCAGGTGCGCGGCGGGCGCGGAACCCGGCGAAGGCGCCGATGGACAGTCCGGTGCCTCCCACGCGGTCGCTGAGCCCCAGCACCGCGCCAGGCCCAGCCCTCCCCCGCTTGGCCTCAGCAGCGTGGCGGGTGTGCGTCGGGAGAGGCCGCCGCGGCGAGCGCCACCCTCCGGGGCCCGCGGGCGCTAGGCCCGGGAACACTGCCATCCACTAACGGGAGGCTCTGAACCTCCGCCCCACTGCGGGGCAGGGCCCAGGCAGCGGCGGCGAAGTCTCCCCGGTCGCGGCCCCACCTCCGGGCCCGTCGAGGCCCTATGCCGCGCCCACCCTCCCTGGCGATGCCTGACCGGATCTGGCCCCAGCCCCCCGGGGCGACACCACCTTCGCGCCTGAAGCAGAAAACGTTTCCCCTGGCCCCAAAGTGTCCCTGGACGAGATATAGCGAAGCCTGATCGCCGGCTCTGCAGCGCCGATCAGCAAACCGCGTGGCTCCGACCTCAGGCGCGCGAGGACCCCCGCCAAGGAGAGCGTGGCCGGGCCAGGCTGTGGACCCTTGGCCAGCTCTAGAGGGGCCACCGCACCCCGGCTACCGCAGCCCCCGGCTCCGCTCACCCTCGATGGAGATGACGTGCTCCCGGATCTGGTTCTGCAAAGCCAAATCCTCGATGCGCTCGATCAGGTCGTAGATGGCGTAGATATTGGGATGCACGGACTCGAAGCGCTGGATCTCGGCCCGGATGGCCGCAGAGTTGGAGAGTGCGAACTGCTGGGGGGGCCCGCTGGCCAGCTGCTGCGAGGGGCCGCCGCCGCCCCCGGCCCCGGGCCCCGCGCCGCCGAACTGCCCGCCGCCACCCGCGCCGCCGCCGCCGCCCCCCGGAGCCGCCAGGCTCTGCTGCTGCTGCGGGCTCTGCCCCCCGCCTGCCTGGAAGTTCATGGCTCCGGAGCCGCGGGGCCCGAGACGGGCCCGGTCAGGGCCCGGGGCGGCGCGGCGGCGGCGAACGGGCGCGCGGGGCTGGCGAGGCCGGCGGGGCCGGGACTACTGGGCCGGCGGCGCGGGGCTAGTGCATGGGGGCCGGGTCCAGGGGCCGAAGCCACGAGGCGCCGCCGCGCACGCTGTGGCCGCCGCTGCTGGGCGCTTCCCGGCGCCGCGATCCCGCTGCCTAGACGCAGGCTCCAGCGGCAACAACAACGGTACCGGGAGCGCGCGGCCCGGGCCCTCCCCCCGCGTCATGCGCACGCACCGCCGCCCCCGCCGGCTCCGGCACACGCAACCCGAGCCCCCTCCCCGCCGCCCCCGCCCTCGTCCCTCCTGCGCGCCGGCCCAGCGCCCCCGCCCCTCGCTAGCTTGCCCGCTCCGTAACCACCACCCCCGGGCCGCACTACAGCCCCGGCGCCCGGCCCCTCCCACCCAGCCTCGGCCCTTCCGCCTCCTGACCCGCCCCAACCCACACCGCCTGGAGGGCCACCCGCTCGCGGGGGGCAGCTGCCCCGGCCCCCTCCCGGGCCCAGCTGTCGCTTTCGCCTCCCTGCTCTGATCTGGGCGGGGTGTCCGGTCTCTGGGCTATGCCCAAACAGTGCCCTGCGCCGGATGGTGCTGATGAACGCGACTGATTGGCCCAGGAGCCCGCCGAGGCCCAGCTGCTCCTAGCTTACAGTGTCCTGCCTTCAGTATGGCACAGGCTTCCCTGTCCCCAGGCCCCGAGGTCAACCCTAGAGACCACCCCGTCGTCGGGGTTCTCTCCCTGGCTTTCTGCCCCGGCTCTCCACTGCTGGCTGCAGCTCAGAGGCTCGGATGGATTCTTGGCACCTATTTCCAGTTCTCCCTGAGCACTTCATCGGTGAGCCCCTGGAAATGACACTTTGAACAACAACGTCCCGACTCTTATCCTCTTGTGACTGGCCTCTCCTAAAAGTCACCCCCCTGTCCCCCGGACTGGGGGGCTTCGTTTAATGCTGCCCGACCCCAGTGGTACATAGAGGAGAAGAGGAAGGAATCAAATATGCCTTTTCGTCCCTGACCCACCCCGTTCAGGAGACTCACTAGGGTCTACGTGGCTCTCTTAATTTTCCTTGTCCTCACTCCCTTGTCCATCCTGTCCTTCCACTCTTTCTGGGGCCAGGGAGCTCCCTTCAATGTCCCAGTTACCAGAGCATTCCCATTGCCAAGGCTGTCTGCAGTTCTAGGTGTGCCCCCCACCCCTCAACACACACACACACACACACACACACACACACACACACACACACACATTTCCTAAAATCCACCAGAGGGGGCATGTGCAGTGCAGTGGCCCCAGCCACTGAATCTGCCAAAGATATAGCAGGATATCTGCTACACCCGGATATCCTTAGAGACAGCTGACACATGTCATTCTTTTTACACACATTTTCACTTCCCAGGCCAACCTGGACCTTTTCCTGGCATAAAGTTGTCCATCATTTGATTACTCACACAACTTGGTCCCAGTACCAAACCAATCACCATTCCTAAGTTTCTTGAAACTTCCAAAGAACCAGGTGCAAGGTAATCAACCCGTGAGGTATCCTGTGCTCCTGAAGGATGCAGGTTTCTGTCTACCTGTATGACCTTAAGGACCCTCTCTGGGCTTCATTTGCAAAACACAGTGGTTGAACAGAAAACCTAGCTGTGACATTCTATAATTTTAAAAGCAACATTCAACATCCCTTTTATTTATTCATTTATTTATTATTTATTATTTATTTTTTTGAGACAGAGTCTCACTAGTTGTTGCCTGGGCTAGAGTACCATGGTGTCAGCCTAGCTCACAGCAACCTCAAACTCTTGGGCTCAAGCCATCCTCCTGCCTCAGCCTCTCAAGTAGCTGGGACTACAGGCATGTGCCACCATGCCCGGCTAATTTTTTTTTTTATATATATTTTTAGTTGTCCAGCTAATTTTTTCTATTTTTAGTAGAGACGGGGTCTAGCTGTTGCTCAGGCTGGTCTCAAACTCCTGAGCTCAGATGATCCGCCAGCCTCTGCCTTCCAGAGTGCTAGGATTACAGGCGGGAGCCACCGCAGCTGGCCTCAACATCCCCTTTAGATGCCTAATTAGAACTCACAGGAAGAAGTTGCACCAGGTACACCTGCCAAAAGAGATGCTGAGGGTAAAGCGTTGCCCAGCAAGCAGCACACACCTGTTTTAGCACTGATGGGCTATCTACGTATCTGTCCTCTATTAGTATATGAGTCACATGTGGGCAGGAAGAGGATCTGCTTCACCGTTGTATTCCCAGCATCTTGCACAATGCCTGGCATGTAGTGTATATTTGATAAATGTCTATGTAATGAATGAATGGAAGGGAAAGAACTAGAGATAAGTTAGTTCTGTACCTTATAAATCTAAACTGACATTCTCAAAGCAACATTTGGGGCACTTGCTGCCACAAGTAGGCATGAGCTATGGGAAGACTAGGGTAGATTATTTTTAATCAAGACTGGCCTGTAAAATCCAGGATGTGAAATCTCTGTGGCTACAGGAGCCCAGAGGAAAATCCACAGAAATCCACAGGCCAGGTTGGTACTCAACATTCTCTACACAGTAACACGTTAAGGACCTGGTTTCTGAGCCCAGGTTTGGATAGAGGGAATGTACTAATACTAGGTGAGCAAACATCTATGTGACCCATAGATGACCCATACATAGTTTTCATATTTTTAAATAAAACCATCTGATTTCTTCCTTATGATTGACCTACAAGATATGTTCTAGGAAGGAAGAAACATCCTCAAAGAGATTCAATAACCCACGCAAGGTTATATAGTTGATAAGCACAGGATAAGGGACCAAGATTTGTGCTTGGTTCCAAAGTTCATGCTTCTTTCACAGTCCTGCAGGGGCAAGGTGGAGGAGGGGACCAGGGAAAGCGGCAACCCTGGGGACAGGTATGCTTAGACAGCCTGGTTGGACAGCCTACGGGTACTGGTCTTTGGGCTGAAGTCAATTTGGGAGTGCAAGGTGCCTCCTGGCATCCTTGCTGACATAAGGATTGGCCTGGGTAAGGGCCACCTGAGTTCCCCAGAGCTTCATCACTGCAGCACCAATACGGTCACTCTGACGTGTTCCAGATGACGTTGGTGTCTAGAGTGACAGAGGCCCGGGCTGCTCGCGGGGAAGGGAGCGGGTCCTGCTGCCGCCCAAACCTCTGGGGACTAGCATAACCCCCAAAGCCGCCCCCGCCGGCAGCCAGGCGGTCAGCCAGAGTCAGGGAAAGCCCGCCGAGCCTCGCACGTAGGTCCGCAGGGCAGCGGGCAGGGACAGCGCAGCGCCAGACTACAAGTCCCACAATGCCCCGGGCCGCGGCGGCAGGGAAGGAGGGATGCCTCAGGTGCCAGCGACCTCGGCTCCTCCAGCCCGGAAGTGCCCGAGGGGCCGAGATGGAGCTGGCTGAGCCGGGCGGTGAGTCCCCGCGCCACGACCGCGCCCACCCCGCCGCCCAGGGCCGCAGCTAGGCCCCGCTCGCCCCGCCCCGGGATCGCCGTGCCCTCCTGCGGCTCCGGGGGGCGGGCAGATGGGAGGGCTGACGAAGGAATGGAGGCGGGGAGGGTGAAGATCCGGGCGGGATCTGGGGTCTGGCGGCAGGCTGGGTTTGGAGAGGCTTCCAGACGAGGCGCAGAGTCGGGCTGCCGCGGGGTGGGGTCCGAGGGGACTAGGAAGGGGCCGAGTTGAGTGGGTGGCAATACTTGGAGGCTCCAGATTGCCAAAGGGCGGAGTTTGACGTTTGGTGTGGAGGAGGTTTGGGGAAGCAGCCCCCTGCCACGGGTGGGGTTTGGATAAATTGTAATGCGTGGGGGCAGGATGGGGGCCCATTTCCACACTTGAAGAAACTTCAGCGACAGATTAGATGAGCTGTGGAGTGAAGTAGGTGAAGCAGTGAACTTTAGGATGAAGTGGATGGAAGAATAGATAAGCTCTTTGGGGTGAAGTCTGGTGGGGGTTAAATTGGGGAGGCGGGGTCGCTTAGAAGGTCAAGGCCTTTATCTTGTGATAGGGTTTGGGTGAACTGGGGAGCTAGTTAACGACCTAGAACTCAGGTTACAGAGTTAGGACTTGGGATTTGGAGATGGGAAGAGACATGAAGAGGCAAGTTTCAGGCAACTGGGAGTCAGAGCAGTCTGTGCCTTGGGGTGGGTAAGGAAACAGAGAGATCAGGACTGTGGGAGAGTGTGGTGGGTGGAGGGCTCCTGACCAGGGAGCCCACCCTCACAGTTTCTTTGTACCTCTCCAGCTCAGTAGCACGGCGGGCAAGGCAGGCACCATGACCCTGATTGAAGGGGTGGGTGATGAGGTGACCATCCTTTTCTCGGTGCTTGCCTGCCTTCTGGTGCTGGCCCTTGCCTGGGTCTCAACACACACTGCTGAGGGTGCGGACCCACTGCCCCAGACCTCAGGGACCCCAACGTCAGCACAGCCCAGCGAAGCCATGGCAGCCACCAACAACATCAGAGGAGAGGCCCCAGGGGCTGAGACCCCCAGCCTGAGACACAGAGGTCAAGCTGCACAGCCAGAGCCTAGCCCAGGGGTCAGAGCAACACCGCCACCCCCGGACTCCCCACAGGAGCCCCTAGTGCTACGGCTGAAATTCCTCAATGATTCAGAGCAGGTGGCCAGGGTCTGGCCCCACGACACCATTGGCTCTTTGAAAAGGTAAGGGGGGAAGAGGGCAGGAGTGAAATGCTAAATAGGGTGGGAATGATCACAGCCACCAGAGAGATGAGACCTTCCCTTCATTCTAAGCTTCCCAAATCGCACACGATACTTGTTCCCCTTGGCAGACTGCCCCCTCAGAGGCCATGGCCCTGGTGGCATGTGGAGGGTGGAGTGTTGTTCTGGGGCGAAGGACTAGGGTTGCCTGAGGCCTGCTCTCTTACCCAGGTCCCTCTCTCCTCAGGACCCAGTTTCCAGGCCGGGAACAGCAGGTACGACTCATCTACCAAGGGCAGCTGCTAGGAGACGACACCCAGACCCTGGGCAGCCTTCACCTCCCTCCCAACTGTGTTCTCCACTGCCACGTGTCCACGAGGGTCGGGCCCCCACATCCCCCCTGCCCCCCAGGCTCGGAGCCAGGATCCTCCGGGCTGGAAGTAGGCAGCCTCCTTCTGCCCCTGCTGCTGCTGCTGCTGCTGCTGCTCTGGTACTGCCAGATCCAGTACCGGCCCTTCTTCCCCCTGACGGCCACTCTGGGCCTGGCCGGCTTCACCCTGCTCCTCAGTCTGCTAGCCTTTGCCATGTACCGCCCGTAGTGCCTCCACGGTCTCTTGGCAGTGCTGCTGGCCCCTCCGGACCTTGCTCCCCGCGCCGTGGTGGGAGCTGCTGTCTGCCCAGGCCTGCCTCTCCGGCCTGCCTCTTTCCCCTAAGCTGGAGCCCAGCCCTGCGCCGCAGAGGACTCCGGGGAATGGCGGAGGCACCTCCCTGTGACCTCCATGGCTCTGGGCCACCTCCTGGGGCTGCTGGCCCTCAGCCCCCACTTACAGTCGGCTCCTCAGGGTCAGGCACCTGCTGTCACTGCCTGGGCCCTGGGCAGAGCCGGGCAACCTCCCTGGGCCCGTCTTAGTGTTCTGCCCGAGGACCCAGCCACCTCTTGTCCCTGACAGTTCCTTGGGTTGATTTAGGGACCTAAGGACTGCGGGAGGCTGGCGAAGGGGAGCTGAGAGGGGCAGAAGAGTTTTCTGGAACCTGTGCAAATTAAAGTAACTGTGAAGTTTTCTCTCTTGGTGTGTGTGTGCGTGTGTGGGGCCTGTGGGGCCGGGGAGCCCTTGCCCACTGGGAGGAAAGGGAGTGAAGGGCAGGGACTGGGCTAGGTCCTGACCTGCCTTCCCCTCGCCCCTCTCCAGTCGCCCGCCAGGCTTCAGCGTTTGGCTCTCTGGCCCCGCCCCCGGCTCTAGCCCCGCCCCGGCGCCGCGCGCGCACTTCCTGGACGCGGGGGCGGGGCTCACGGCGCCCTGGCTCGCAGCGCCTGCCGGGAGCCACGTCTCCGCTGGCTGAGTGCTGCGCGGGGATTGGCGTCCGGCGGCGCTCCGGGCTGCTGGGAAGATGGCGGACTCGGTGGCCCGCCGATGAGGAGGCCGCGGGGGGATCCCGGCACCCGGGTCCCGAGACCGACTGAGGGAGCGACCTGCGCGGGGCCCGGGGAGTCATGTAGGGGTGGCGCCTGCGTGGCGGGCAGCGGGAGGGCAGCGGGAGCTGGCGTTGACGGCGGTGGCCACGGTCTCCTGGCGTCCCTGGGCAGGGGTGGGTATGGGGGCTCCCGACCTCGGCGACTCCGCGCCATTGCAAAGCTGCGCGCTCGGGCCCCACGCGAGCTCTGCGAGGTGTGCACTGCATTCTCATCTCACGGGTGAAGAGACTTAGGCAGAGAGACGGAGAGGAAGTCCCTTGTCCAAGGTCATGCCGCTGGTAAGTGGGAGCGCCCAGCATGGATCCCAGCACCGTCCGGCCTCGGAGCCCGCGTTCCGCCCTCCGTGCCGCCGCCGCCGCCTCCTGCGGGAGGGGGAGGTGGTCGGAAGGGTGCTTTGCCAGGGTCACCTGGGCTCCAGACTGGCACGACCACTAACCGGGTTAATGACCTCGGGCTTAACTTAAGCGGCCTCTTCGCTGCTCTGGGCCTTGGTTTCTCCACCTGTGAAATGAAGTAATGCCCGCCCTGCCTACTTCTCGTGGGCGTGTGAGAAGCATTAGAGAAGATGATGCGTATGGCATTGCTTTGTAAATAGTGCTATGCTGAGCACACTGAAGGATTATGATTATAATTTCAAAAGAGTGGAAGGAGGCAGAGCAGCGGGTAGGGAAGAGGACCAGAGCAGTCACAAAAGGCTGCTCTGACCCCAGCCCCCTCTAGATGGGGAGTGAGGTAAAGTATAGATAGTAGGTATTTCTCCTTTTTGGAGAAAACCTCACACCCTTTTCTGGCCCGCCCCTCAGGGTCTCCATCACCCAACTCCATGCTTCGAGTCCTGCTCTCTGCCCAGGCCTCCCCGGCCCGGATGTGTGGCCTGCTGCTGATTCCGCCAGTACAGCCCTGCTGTTTGGGGCCCAGCAAGTGGGGGGACCGGCCTCTTGGAGGATGCCCCAATGCAGGCCCTATACAAGGGCTGCAGCGGCTTCTGGAGCAGGCAAGGAGCCCTGGGGAACTGCTGCGTTGGCTGGGCCAGAACCCCACCAAGGTGCGCGCCCACCACTATCCTGTGGCGCTTCGTCGTCTGGGCCAGCTCTTGGGGTCTCAGCCACGGCCCCCTCCTGTGGAGCAGGCCACACTGCAGGACTTGAGTCAGCTCATCATCCGAAACTGCCCCTCCTTTGACATTCACACCATCCACGTGTGTCTGCACCTTGCAGTCTTACTTGGTGAGGAGGGGCTTGAGGAGGGCATCGGGGGGCTGGGTGCTAATGGAAGAATAGAGAAAGAGAACAGTAGAGGACCCAAGTTCACAAAGACTCAACCTCTCAGGCTTTTGCCCAGGAACTGCACATATCCAGGTATACTTCCCTTCCTGTGATGGCAGACGTCATATGAGTTAAACATCCTTTCCAGCCTCACTAAGTCGCCACCCCAGATCCCTTCTATAATAGAGTGAACTTGGGAGCCACTACAATTTGTCAGTTGGCACACGATGAGAGACTTTTTGCCATCTTTGTGTAAGTAAGGTCTTCCCCACAGACTGTTCTGATACCTCATGTTCACACAATATTTTACATTTCTTCAGTGTTTGTACTTAAACTCTAGCACACCTTCCCACTCAGGAAATGGAGAGGAGAAAGATGGGGCATTCACTAACCCTGTGCTTAGAACAGAGCAGCATTGCTGTTACTAGGACTGCCTTTGACCTCTCCCTCTCAGGCTTTCCATCAGATGGGCCCCTGGTGTGTGCCCTGGAGCAGGAGCGACGGTTCCGCCTCCCTCCGAAGCCACCTCCCCCTTTGCAACCTGTCCTCCGTGGTGGGCAAGGGTTGGAAGCTGCTCTGAGCTGCCCCCGTTTCCTGCGGTATCCACGGCAGCAGCTGATCAGCAGCCTGGCAGGTGCTGGAGAGGGTTAAAAGCAAATTGGGGGGGTGCAGAGGAGGAGGAGAAAGATGGGCTGAATTGGAATTTAGCCAACTGGAGGTCTGGCCTGAGGGTCCAGTGTGATAGGCTGTTCTTCACAGAAGCGAGGCCGGAGGAACTGACTCCCCATGTGATGGTGCTCCTGGCCCAGCACCTGGCCCGGCACCGGTTGCGGGAGCCGCAGCTTCTGGAAGCCATTGCCCACTTCCTGGTGGTCCAGGAAGCCCAGCTCAACAGCAAGGTGGGCTTGCCTCCCACCTTCCCATGTTCCTCTGAGTCATCCTCAGCGACCTGGTCAAGCCCAGCCCCTTGTCCAGCTTGGTTGGCCTCCTCCTGCAGCACACACACCAGCAGGCTGCTTGCTCTGTCCCCTGGGGCCTCCATCTGTGCTCACTCTGGCTTGCTCTACACCCGTAACTAGCGAGTGTGCCTAGAGCGCTGCAGTTTTCCAAAGCACTCTTGGCACCATCCTAGCTTCGTCTGTCCCACTCCTCAAAGCCTCAGGGCCAGACCCCACAGAGATGTCCCCTCTGCTTGTTTGGTGATTAGTTTGCAGCTTACAACTGCTTATGCTGTTGAACTTGTGGTGTGTATGTTGGTGGTAGAAGGACTGTTCTGCTTTACAGCAATGTTACAAGCGTGAGGGCCAAGCCTCCCCAAGGCTCAGCATGCAAAACATACTGGAGAAATTTTTTTTTTTTTTTTTTGAGACAGAGTCTGTGTTGCCCGGGCTAGAG